TCAAAATCAGGACAAAAATTACCAAGCAATAATGACGCAGTCAGGCCAACAACAGTTGTTGTAACAAAGGTCAGAGTACTAAACCACAGGTATGACAAACTGTAAAGATCAGCAAATGGGTTGCTACAATAAAAAAAGAAGGGAAAACAGTTACAAACGCGCTGCATGAGTGTTTCTATAAAGCATGGCTAACAGTGATAAGCATAAAGGCCGGTGTTTGACCTCTTGGGTATGCTTATATCCTCTTATTAAGGCCCTAGCTACACACATAATAGTTGGTATTGAGCCATTGTCTGATAAGTCAAACACTAAGATATAATAGATATAAATATAAGAAGCAAGCTTAACTATTTTGCAGCCATTTATATAGGGTTCCTATAATTCTCGGTATATCAGATTAATTCTGGACACTATTAATTCCGGCACTACTTCAAAAAAACCACAGTTCTTTCGTGAGCTCTATCACCAAACAAAGACACTAAGGCCATGCCATGTTAGCAGCAATCAATCATCATGTTGCGTCAGGATGTTTTGAATTAAACTCGCGTATCACTTGGGGATTGACCGTTTTAGGAGGCATTGGCCAATTTAGAAACAAAAAGGGAACTGGCGCCGAAATTCGCACCGCAGTTGTTTCTGGGATCGTTGCTGGGCGCACACCGCTCAGATTGGCTAATAGGCTGATTTAGCAACAGGACGAGAACGTCATTTGACAACGGGTAAGCGCCCAGAAAGGACTAAACTCGACTTCCGGTACCCAATTTGCCGCCCTCCCACTGGTCAATCCAAAACAATCCAGTTGTTTGATTTGCGCGCGCAGTCGTCAACAGACCTTCCCGTTCTGTTGTTAAATCAGCCTAATGTTTTTCCCAGTGTCTAGTAAAAGTCCCAGAATTCTAGAAAGTTAATTCGACCAAGTTTGTTTTTGTTTTACTGTACCTTGTGTATGGTTTAAAAGAATTTCTGATAAGTCCGTCACCATATTTGCGGAAGATCTTTGCCGAACTATTGTCGTATGTACCGTTTGCAAAAGTAGAGTTAGCTGCCAGGGCGTCTTGATAAAATGAACACTCCCTGACCGAGCGAACGCCTGGGTATTTGTTAGGCGGATACAGGAGAGAGCCGATGAAGACCCAAAGAACCAAACCAAAGCCAGCGAAAACACCCATGTACATACCCTGCGTTAAAGACATGATACGGGGCTTTAGCATCTACGACAGCGACGGCGACGGCGACGGCAGCGAAAAAATCGCCAGTCAGTGAGTTTTATCAGGTCACGTCATTTGGCGGTAATTAAATCTAGTTATTGACTTTATTGGTCGAGATTTTATTGGTCGTCTGTCAGTTAAGCCGTGATGTTAGTGGCTATTAACACTCTAAATGTGATAGGTGCGTTGCGATCCGGCTTTTGTCAGTTATAATGGTATTTTAATGGGGTTTTGTTCGAGATAGAAGCGCTT